AGAGAGAGAGAGAGAGAGAGAGAGAGAGAGAGAGAGAGAGCGATAGAGAACGAGAATAGGTATGTGGGAGAGAGTAACATAGAAAACATTTGTCGTTAGGACGCTGCCACCTTCAGATGCAACACTCTTGGCTACTTAGTAGTGCAAATTGCCTATCGCTCAGGCGAGGGCTTCTCTGCTTTAAATGTACATCCTTTTAAGAAAAATATTATAGTGCATAAACCACTTAACAGGTTTGAAATAAAAAGCGTTACAGACAGTACAACAAAATAGCAGCTACAAAACTATATGTTTTAACTATATACAGCTGAAAAAAAAGTATCGACACGCTACCAAACTGACAGCTCACTACAACCCATTTCATTCATCAGAGGGAATCCCTTCTGAAAAATATCATCCTTATATACATGTGTATTTAAGTAAAACTTAAGAGTGTGTGTATGTGCGATTTTGGGGATGTGTGTGGTTCTGTCACTCGCGGCTAGACAACGTCCCTTGCACCAATCGAGACATATGAGGTGTCATTTGAAGCGTCTCGGTTATTTGATGGGGAACTGATAATTTGTTTTCGAATCCGACCAGAAGATAAAAATAAATTTCCAAAAATGTGCTTTATCTTGTTTTGGCGCTGCGATCTCAGTGATAACGCCAGGAATTAAACAAACGCCTCCTAAATCGATATATGTAGGTGACGTTCATGAAACACCAGTATCCAAACGTATTTTTTGCAAAACACGCCATAACTTTCTTTCACGACATTGGCAACACCGATGTTGACATGTTTAAGTGAACGTATTTAAAAAATGCATTTACTAAAACCTACGAACAGTATTGCTTAATAACGTATTAAACTTGAAGAATTTCAAGTGAAAATGGAGAAAACAAAACTCTGAGTAATGCTAGACAATGAATGAATGAATGGTTCGACTTCGCACTTTTACATTCTTTCATAAGTATGCAAATATCGATTTTCAAATGAATGTGACCCACAGCTTATTCTTATTAAATTTAACTAACACCTTATTCACATAAACAAACAAAATAGTTGTCTTTTAATGAAAAATTCGCATGCAACTTTAGATTCACTTACAAAACGATTAATAGAGCAATTGTAGAAGTAGAAATGAAAACAAATTAGACTGCATTTGAAAAGTTGTAATCTCTTCAAATATTAGGGGAGAGAAATAAGGGAGTTTTAAGGAAATACGAGGAAGAATCAAACGTAGTTGTAAATGATGTTGCAAAAGAATTTTCGGAAGTAATTGGATATGATCTGCATGCACTTTTTGCATTCAGCATTTGTGCTAATGCAAATGTGCTATACGCATTTTTGTGCGTAGAAGCAAAAAAAACGTAAAAAATGTAGCTAAACTGAATTTTATGTATTAGCGTCAAAACCTGAAAGTATTTGTTACGGCGATTATAATTTTGAAGTTGCAATAAGACCAGTTTATAACCCGTATGGAAGTAACACACAAAGCCATTGGGTGTTGGGAACTTTGGAACGGGAACATTGGAACATTATCAGTTACTACGATTCATTGGTAAGTCCAATGCCAGATACTGAAAGAACGTTTTAGAACAAAGCTGGGCGGGAAAGAAACTACTACATTGAGTACGGCGAGCTCAAAACAGTCGACACTGTTTGCACGGAGTGTTGCGAACAGCTCCGCGGTCGGCTCAAGAATTTTTGAATTTCTACATCTGGAGTCAATTAATTTGTATCATAAACGTTGAGATACTTAAATCTTTAGAATTATGTTTATGACGTGATGGATAATTTCCAGGTACTCCCAACGAATTGTTTGTTGAAGATATATCTCTACCAAGTTGAGAATGATGTTCACAGAAGCGCGCCACTCTCTTTCTTTACAGCTGAAACGATAGAGACGGAGATATAAGGTTACCCAACTCAAATTAAAAATGAGATTGTGCCAAACTGTTGAGGGAAAATGCGCGATTTTTTTCGTTGCAAAATTTTGTGTCTATCCATCGATGAGCAGAAAATGTGTACTGTAACATTCGTAAAAATAGTTTAATTTAACTCAAGCAGTTTCTCAGAATATATACCAAATAAAATTATTTTTATGTAAGAAGCAACTACCACCATAATGAAGAAAATTGTATGTACTTATGACAGTGAAGTTTGGTACTTTATTGCGTACCTAGCAAATTGCTTAAAGTCTGCCTAAAAAAGATGAATGAAGAAGAATACAAAATGTTTATATTCAACGAAAACGTAATACAAATTCGATATAAAAATAAAGATTTATTATTATTCTTGTAATAGAAAAGTAGAAAGTGAAAACTGCAACTTAACATAACAAAATTAAGTAGTGAGTGCAAATCTTGCATAATGTCTCTCTGACGTTATATGTCATCAGCTGATTACATAGAAGCAGTATCAGTCTCTGATGCGATAAGAGAGTCTTGGCTGGTGTCTGAGAGAGTATCCATTTCACTAAATGATTCACTGCTACTTTCCGGACCGACATTTATTAAAAAGTCATCAACAGCATTTTCAAGCAAAGCCTCCCTCTCCTAGTATTCTTTAGCTATTTTATTGGTACGAGTGACCACTTTTTTCCACTCTTCTATTATTTTTTCAATTGCTTCTGATGTTATTATTTTTAGATTAGAATGTGACACTTGATACATGTTTCTTTCGATCATTTTTATTTTCACTAACACAAAACTTAATTACATTACAGGCAAAGCGTCTTGCTTACCAGCAAAGAGTCATAACCCGACGAAAATTCGCATTTCTCCAAGCTACGCCCATAAACCACTCTCTTCACGCTCCTCGCGACTTTGTTAGCGGAACTGACTGTACAGAGCTGTGTTTACACTGTTGGTTCCACGACGCACCGCAATAACCTCCTTCATTCTTCATCTAGTCTAGTTATACCTTATTTAGCTCACTTATAGAATCCGAATAGGAAAAGTATCAATGGAACGAAGTGTCTTAATTTGTAATAGTAATTACATACAGCCTTTTTAATATTTATGGAGAATAAATAATAAAATAAATCCATACATAATAAATTTCATACAACTGGTTGTTAACTTATTTCTATATAAAAGGACACATTTGGAAATTAAAAACCATAATAACAGCGTAAACTTTTCCAGTTTTCACATACCTATGCGACATGAGGGCAGAAGAGCGAGATAAAATGTTGCATCTCTTAAAAGGGTAACTATTTTCTCTGCAGAAAATTATTGTTAGAGAAAAATCCACAAAGAAATCGGATTATTGAACAAAACGCGTTATAATTTATTAATGCCAATTAATTCTAGAATGCATCGACTCGGGAAACTACATGAATGTGTATGCAGAGCCTCTGAGGCTCGACGCAATACGATTTCGAAAAGTGCTCATAAAACTATTTGTATTGTTACTAACTTAATTTCTTAATATTTTAAAATAATTTAATTCTTAATGTAAAACAGATGATTATTATTTTTAATAACTATTAATATGTTGTTAAATGCTTTGTATATGCCTTGTCGCACAAGAATAAAATTTCAGGACCTGCATATATAACTTTTGAGAATTTTTCCTTGGCAGAGACTCAAATGAAATTGGAAAGATAGAATGAAGATTACACAGAGGACAAGCTTTCAGAAATGCAGTAAGCCCTGGATTTGCACCCTAGGGTTAATAATGTCTGCCTATTTATGAAACACTAAGTACGGTAACTGATCTGCCAGGAATAAGCTCTATCCACCACAAAAACAACCACTAAATCAACAAACCACCACCAAATCAAGTTTTCCGTGGTTTCTCTGATCAGCACCAGGTGAATGCCGGAGCAGTACCCTAACAAACGGGCCACGGACCACGCGCGATCTCACCTTCCTCTTCCGTGTCCTACTCTCACCCCTTACACACACAGACTAATATGCACTTCAGTACCACACATGCTGGGAGACCCGTCAGGAGCTAAGAGCTTGTCTCCGTTGGGGCGGTTCCCGCTGGTGGGAGATACCTGGTAAGGGAAAAGCCCGCTAGCCGACGGTAGTTCGGTGCTGGATCTCCCTATAGAGCGGGGAAATGATAATCGCCACCTTCTGAGCAAAAACATGCATTACACTTACGGGACTAATGACCCTAGTAGTTGACGTGCTCGGAATCATTAAACAATCAAGCAATCAAAAAACAACAAATCAACAATGATAGGCAAGAATTAATTTTTTGGTGATTTTTGTTTCTCCACAAACATGACAAAATTTGAATCATAATTCATAATTCATCAAAATTCATAATGTCCGTAATCGATACAGATCCGGTTTAGCTTCGTTTTGCACGAACAAGAGTCAGGCCCACAAAATCATATTCGATCTGATCATTCTTTGCGAATATTTCTAGTTGGCCATTCGAGGATTCACACTGAACTGAGTGTTACAGCAGCTTCTACGTAATTCATGCAAATTGCTGTTGCTTCTGCACACGGTTGTGTTAATGGCTGAATTGCGGTCGTGTCTGCAATGGAAATGTGAAAAGCGGGAGCCCAGAGGTCAGCGCTCTTAAAACAAAGAGAAACCACCAGGACAACTTGCTAACATTTGCTCATGTGATTTGAATACCCAAACCACAGGCAGCTAACGGCCGAATACTACATATCGCATGTCAATGATAAAGAATATTAATTCAAATAAAAATTAGAAAATAATATAATGGTTTTATTTCAATAAATCTAAAATAAAATGAAAAGAATAAGGAAAATTAGGCCACAATTAGAAACATGAAGTAACATTTGCGATGAGTCTTGGGACCAATGTACCTCTATCGCAGAGGACAAATATTTTATAAACGTAATATAGTGAACGAGCACGTATTCGGAGCGTGATGTATTAAATGAGATTACAACTTCAGTTCAACATCACAAATCCGACATTCGTTTGAACTCATCAAATATTTTTAATATTTTTCAATAAAATCAGACTAAATGAAATCGTTAACAGAACATAAACGTTTGATGATGTATTTCCTGATGACTAACCCCTTACGTCGGTCAGTGAGTCGTTGATACGTAATTTTATAGTGTGCAGGAGGATATTCTTTGAAGTGTGGAGCCGCTTGCGCGTTGTGGGGTTTGTGGGGTGGGGGTGGGGGAAAAGGGTCGTTGAGTGTGAGCGTGGGGCCAACGCCTTGGGAACCGGTTCTTCTCGCCATTCCCTTGCACTCGATTGCGTCGATGAGCTCCTCTCTTCTCGCATCTCTCGCTCCTCTTCAAATTCTTCGTCTCCCAATGCCGCATTGGCATTTCACTATTCATTACTTATAAGTAGAGTTTGGAAGTTTACGCAAGCTTTTGACCCTGAAATATGCCACAAAAATGTTGAAATGTGCGCAGGAATTGCAGCATTTTGGTCACGGAAACGAATATTAAAATGATATTACATTTTTTACCACCTAGAGAAACAGAGATTAAGGAAGGGAGGGAGAGAGTGAGATGCCTTCTGTGGGGGAAGGTTTGAAAAAGAGTTGGTATTGCCACGCACGGTCAATTGGAGGTTGCCAAAAGAATATGTGAAGTGTCAAGTCTTGGCGATATACCAATGACTTCACCGGCGTTGGCCCTCAGTAGTCTGAAATACATTGTATTAACGTATTTGAAGCAACTAGAAAGTTCACAATTTGTGTTAATATTTTTTTACTCGGAAATTATTATTTTAGTGTTTTTTAGACAGTCAAAAAATATACAAAAAAATAATTTATATGCCAAAACGCTCTAAATAGGCAAAATATGCATTTTATGCTTTTTTTACTTTCTCTTTTTATATTTTGCCATGAAATATACCTATTTGTAGTTTCAAGAACATGTAACCATTAACAAAAACATGCAATTACAGTAAATTCTCAGTTCTACTTTTAATTTCATACTAATGACATGCAGTAGAAAAAAAGGCTGTTGAACAAAACCAAGCAATATAGTTTTCCAAAAAGAAGCATGCACGCTACTCGTGAACAACAATTGAAATACTCTCTTATAAAACCGAATTAAACTAAGTAATTTAACAAAAACATTCTTCATGAATTCTGTAATAACATATTACATTATATATACAGTACTGAAGTAGATAACAGGATCAGGTGGCTCAGGGATGGAAATTATGTCTCGAACCAGGAGGTCCTAGGGTTCATCCGACGGTGGCTTTTTTTCGACACTAGCTAGATAGCTAGGTTAAAGTTAGCCGCTATCTGGAGGAGAATCCTAGTGACCGGCTGCTCTGATCGGTAGTTTTCCGAGATTTCTCCAATCACCCCCAGGTAAATGCCGGAGATGTACCCTAACAAACAGATCACGGATCTTTCCTTCCTCTTCCTCGACCTGTCACCACCCTTTACTCACGCATTCAATTGCATGCATCTCACTACCGTACATGTAGGGAGTACAGACGGAACTATACAGCTTGGTATTGGTCACTGGGCATGGCACTGGTGAAAACCTAGTGAAAATCCTACCAGCCGACGTGTAAGACACGCACCATCCTGCGGGGGAAGAGCATCGCCATGTTCAGAGATGAAACATGCACTACAGTTACGGGGATGATGGCCGTAGACGTTGACTTGCCCGGAAACACGAAATAATCAATCAGATAGTTTTTCCATTCTATACTATTTCATAGAATAATACAAAAATGTTGTATTTTAAAATGCAGACTTTCTTCGAGTTTTTTTCGGATGAAGTCGTCTGCAGTATGTGAATAAGCGATACAACAAATGTAATATTTGCTTTTCCTGCGATCCCTAAATTTTCAATGTAATCATGAGATAAATATTATGTGAAGTATTTGACAATTTTCATTGAACCAAAAATTATTTTTGCATACTGTAACTTAAAGGGCCAGGAACCGTCAATACACGAAATTGCTGTCCCGTATTTTTCTAAGTCAGTCGTTTTGAGTTATTTTATCGACTTCTGAGAAATCACGTTTGTTATATTTGATGAAACCCATTCCCCACACATTTCCACTTACCGGCAGTGTTTACATTCGTAACAAGCAATTATCGTAGCTATTCAACAGAAGTAGAGCAGACGAGGGAGACGTTTCCACCTATATTTCGTGCCTTAAATTCTACTTGGAATGGAAGAGAAAGGTATTTTTCTTATTCCCATGAAGGTATAGATATCACGTTTCAGAACTCCCCGCCTTATGCGTCTGGAAATTCTCGGTTGCTTTTGCAGCATCCTCATACAGTTTCGCAAGGGGAATATTGGTATCTGATCGAAAATGACGATCTCGAGGCATCACATTCACAATAAAAATGGTCAAAGCAATTCAATTGTTTTGAAAGTGGGAAATTGAAATGTATTGGGTGTAGAAGTAATGAATTTTTAGGTCATTGTTCATGTAGATGGGAAAACGTTCACAAAATACTTTTGAATGATCAGGAAAACTGACTTTTTCAGACACACTAATTTGAAAATAAGTACAACACAAACTAATAATGATTTAAGTAATGACAAGAAGCCATGTCAGTTGTGCGTGTCTTAAGTAAAAAGCGTAAAATCAAGTGCTTGAAATGAGTCACCTACAGGTGACTTTTGCAAAGGATCCCTTCTATTGACGTTTATAACTTTTTGCTCCACTTCCGAATTTATGTTAGATGTATTTCTTGTAGGTTGCAAATTGTTTCATAACAATGAGTATTTTGGATAAAAATGAAAATGATTACTTCAATTTTTACTACTGTAATTTTTTGCATATTTTAAATTCCCCGAATTACGCAAATAACCCTTGAAATGCATCAGGCATCGAAATGACGACCCGCGTGACTGCTTGGTATTACCAATGCTCGTACATTCTAGTATTAATGCTACAGTCATTTAAAATTATTAAATATTAAAATTACCAATAACTATGTGTGTATTAACTATTGTACGTTACCGGAGACAAAACCGCGGGAAGTTTGACTTCACTGTACTTCTTACTTTTTACTCTACACGGCACTTTACTTTTCTTTCTCAATCTATTTACACTTTTCATTTCACTTAACAATCTGACACAATATGACCTATCATACAGGCCCGACATTAATCAATGATGTTGTATTATTAAAATGTACTACTATGCGTAACTAATAATGAATTTATGCAGCAATTTTAAGCTTTAATGTAAGAATGAGACCAATTCTAATAATTTTTACTTTCTCACAAAATGATTACATTTTGAAGAATAAGTATTTTAATCGTGGGGA